TATTACTACTATAAAAGTTTTAAAGCACATTTGACCAACTTTGAGAGTAATTCAGGTTCTGGGAAAGTGTCTATGGAAAGTTTACAATGTGAAATCTGTGGGAAAATACTTCTACTTGACTGTAACTGCATTAGGCACTGAGATGTTTATTTCAGATTCTGATTGTATATCCACTGACCTGTTAAAAGAGCTTCCTTATTTTCATTTTGAATCTAATAATCAGTACTCTCCACAGTTCAGTTATTCCAAGACTGATTGTTTGGACTTTCTCAGCATGTTATCATATTATATCTATAAAGGACTGATTCTTATTTTAATGTATTCAGTCACCATGATGATCTCATTTTGTGTCTGGCCTTAGGGCTTTTCAATAGATTTGTAAAATCAACCATAACATTCCTGCACTATATAGTGTGCGTGAAAAGATAACTGGATTATTGGTTATTTTTAGACTGATGTTGCTATGAAATGAAAGGTTATTATTCATCAAAACATATTTCTTGCACTTTGCCTTGCCTTTAGGATGATCTCTGTAGATCAGATAAATATATTTATAAAATCTGTATGTATTTATCAGATCAAATCAAATAACTAATTGAGATTATTTCTTGCAGAATTATCATGGCTATACAACTTCTGAAGATAAGACTGGATATTTGCAATTTTAAGAGAGATTTTCACTTTGTACAAACTAATCTCATTTGTACTTTCTAAATTTATTTTAAAAATAAAAATATTCTTTAATGCATTAATTATATTATATTTAATATATTACATTAAATACATTACATTTAATCACTGGAGATTTTTAAGAAAAAAATTGGACAGCCACCTATCTGAAATGGTATAGGGTTGAGCAGGAGGTTGGACTAGAAGATCTTCAAAGTTCCTTCCAGGTCTATTCTGATTGATGTTATTAAGTTACTGAGCTATGACATGCACTTTCTATAATTTGCAATGGTTTAAACACCAAAATAAACTCTACCACTATGCATATATTAAGGGAAAGGACTTATTTTGAAGAAAATTATTAGCAAAAATTATTTTTCTAATAATACACTGCTCAAAAAAATAAAGGGAACACAAGCAGAAGACATCCAAGATCTGAATGAATGAAATAGCCCTATTAAATACTTCGTTTGTTACATACAGTAGTTTTGTGTTTCCTTTAGTTGTTTGAGCAGTGTATAAACTACTGTATGTAAAGAACAAAGTATTTAATAAGGCTATTTCAGTCATTCAGATCTCAGATGTCTTCTGCTTGTGTTCCCTTTATTTTTTTGAGCAGTATATATTAGAATAAATATGCACACAAATCCATTCATGTTTTCTTACATTATTTAAGAATTCAATGGATGAGTAGAGTCATGAACTATTTATAGTTGATCTTGTGAGATCATTAATAGTCTAAATTTTTTACAAGTTGCTCTGACATTTGGATTTTGAATTTCTATTAAAATTCTCTTGAGGTTTTAGCATTGTCTTATGACATTATAAAACATTTTGAATTTTTCACATGAAAGCTATAATATTTGGCCAATAAATCATTAAAGCAGCAACTTAATGAGATTTTGACAATTTAAACAAATATTTATTTTACAATGGATGGCTGACTTGGGAGGCTGTTACACATCTAGCTAGGTGCACCTTGTTGCTAATACTATTGATCTGAAAATAGACTGAGGCAAAATTAAGATTTGAAATAATAAAACTAAATTTGACAGTTTAATCAGTCCAAAATGGATTCATTTCAACTGATTATAGACAAAAAGATGTTTTGATTGATCAAATGGATGATGAGTTCTAAGATAAGGATAGGTGCACTGTCTTGGTAAATCTCTGGGATCCTTTTGTGACTTTTCATATTATTTCTAAATCTGTTCTTGATGTGGACTCTGTGTTTCAGATAGACAATGTTGAAAAGAACTTCTGCTTCAGTTTGAAGGATTTATTCCAAAAAGGGATGTAATATTCACAGTTGTCCATTCTGTCAAGCTCTTGATACTGCTTAGTTTATTGTATTGCTGATGATTGCTCAATCTTTTATAAGATTGAAAATCAATTGGGACAAGTTAGTGTTCAATTGTTACTTTTTTCCTTGGACATTTTTAATTCCTTCAGCAAAGGTTTCTTTTCTGATTATAGAAAGCAAAATACAGTTATGGAGATAATCAATATTACCATGCGGTAAAATAATGCATTATTAATTTGGGATATAAATATGTCTGAAAAGTACCTTATGTGATACTAAAAGACTAAGATTGGCATCAGAATGTGTTTTTCTCAAGAATGATTTTCACCAATAGTCTTGGAGAACATGTGAGCATTTAAAAGGATAGTGATTAATATTGTTGATTTCTGGGTTTATTGTGGTTTATTTTAATGTATGGAATTTTTTTCACTTTTCATGACTGTGTTTTAAACTATATGTAAATTTAAGATATTAATTATTGATTGGTAACTTATAAATTAACAATTTGTGCAAAATATGTATTATTTACCTACTACTTACATGAATTTCTATATTGCCCAGACTTCAATATACCAATTAACACAGAAGTAAATGACATATGTTTTTCGTTTTTTATGTGGTGGAGTTTTAAATACTGTATGTCACCTGGAGTCACCTATGTGAGAGTTGGACAGCTGTATAAATCTGTTTAATAATTAATTAATTATTCTCATATTACAGTCACTCTAAAATGTCATTTGGAGTAGAAATATTGAACATGCATATTTATATATTCTCATTTTTTAATTTTGGTTTTTTTTTTCGTTTTTTACTTTTTGTATTTCTATTTAATATGCTTTTTAAAAAGCAATAGAAAAAAGACATATCTGTCTTCCTACAAAATACTACCAGAACAACCTCGGTTTGGAACAGATATTATCCTTTGGAACATTTAGCAGTCTAATATTTGACAGGAAAAGGAAGCAAAGTTAGTTTATTCTGGATCTTCTATTTCTCCTGTTCAATTTACAGTTGGTGGAATTTCAGCTATATTAAAATATCTATTTATATTCTTTACTCAACAATTTAAATCAATCTTAATCAAGAATGGACATAAATCATTTGTTTGCTTTTCATATTTAAACAGGCCTATATGTTCATAAATCAGATTTCACATACGCTGTTTGATCAGCTGGTTCAACGGCAGTATTTCACAAAGTTGGATTATTTGTAAATGTATAGATGGAGAAAAAAAATGAAGGATATATGATAGTAAAACCAAGGATTGGTAGACTGCAGTCTGATCAGTCCCTGGAGTCCAATCATACTCTGACTTCTTGCATAGGCAATGTTTTTCAACATCTGATAGTCCCCTGTGCATAATTTATAATGATTATTATAAATTTCATTAACTTCCACCAGATCTGGATCGCAAAAATTCGAAGCAGTATAAGATGAGAGTAAAGAGACACAGAAGACTCCTTTGCTAATATTTAACACAGAGTTTTGCAATCCAGGTCTGGAAGCTGTAATCCACCAGAGTATATATAAAACTGTAATTCTCAGTGCAATTAAATCGAGATACAAATTATTAAAAATGCAAACATTGTACAGAATTTCATAATACACTTTGACAGTTAGTATATTTCACATTTTGTTATTTGAAAACTAATTCTAATAGTAAGATTAATGTTAAAAAGCTAGCATGCTAGAAACAGAATACTAGATTCTAGCATTAAAGTTATTTACAAAGATGCCCTTGGGCTCCATGTAGGGATTATAAGAAAATTAGAATATTAAATAGCAAGTGATCAAAGCTTTGATTTAAATTGCCCATTTACACACAAGAAAAATATAGTGATAAATTAAGCTAGTAAGAACAGGAACATTCCGGGAGAAGAGGAAGGAGCAACTCTATCAGCCACTTTTGGTAATTCATCATTTTGTGACTTGTCACATAAACTTTCTAAAATATGTCTATAGAAGGTATTCTACTACTATAGTATAAGTTATTTTGTGAAAGGGATCACAATATTCTCTCAAAAATTCAAATATTCCTCTCAGCCATAAGGGTACAACATTGTTAAAGCTGGCAACTTTTTTAAAACAAATGGCATATTTCATATAATGGTTTTCTTCTGTCTCCTACTGATTCTGGAAGAAGTAGGCAACATGATCCCTGTGGATGATTTTTAATTTTTAAAATCTCATTGTAACATAATGCAAATTTGTGGCATATTATGAATTAGCAATAGCACTTAGACTTATATACCGCGTCACAGTGCTATACAGGCCTCTCTAAGCGGTTTACAGAGTCAGCATATTGCCCCCAACAATCTGGGCCTTCATTTTACTGACCTCAGAAGGAGGGAAGCTAAGTCAACCTTTATTTATTTATGAATAATTATACTATGTGATTGCCACCCATTTACTTATTACTGTTAAATATATGGAAAAAATCTTAGTGTCTATAAGTCTGATGATTACTCCTATAATATAGACTAGACTATAATATTCTGACCAGTAAGAATATATAATTTATAAAATATTAATAAATTTTATGTGTACATATATAATAATTACTGGACAATTTGTATTATATATTTGTATTTCCTATATGTCTGCTTTGTGCACTCTAGGTTACTTACACAAGCTGTGCAGTTTATCTCAGTGCATTTGGGCCCCTGAAGTCTCCACCCCAATGAAAAGCAAAGAGACATTCTCACAGATGATCCAATTGTAGGACTGCCTGTATTCTCCTTTTCTTGATTTGAACAACATACAGGATATAGTTTGTACTTACCTGTACATTCAAAAACTGGATTCCATTTCTTAGTCACATTACCGTGTGATTATTAGTCACATTGCTGAGCACATTGTAAGCCGCCCTGAGTCTCCGGAGAAGGGCGGCATATAAATCAAATTTTTAAAAAAAAATTAAAAAAATTACCATTTGGCCATGCTTTGAAAAAGGCAGAGAAAATGCTTTTATATAAAAATAGGCAATTTAAGTATAAATTAAGTATAGTTGCTTTCTTCTTTTTCACAGCTTGCCGGTCAGGATTCTATAAAGCATTTGCTGGAAATATAAAGTGTTCCAAGTGTCCTCCACACAGCCAAACCTTCGTGGAAGCAACATCTGTATGTCAGTGTGAAAAAGGATACTTCCGAGCTGATAAGGATCCACCAACTATGGCATGTACCCGTAAGTTTAATTGATCCTGGTGTTTAAAATTCTTCCCTTATCCTCTTTATCTTAAAGGATAAAAAAAGCATTTGTTTTTGCTAATCAAAAATGCAAATTAATTTTTCCTTTAGACCCAAGACACTTATGTGTTGAAAAATACATATTGTCAAAACAACATACTGCACTACCTTCATTATTAATCGAATAATTACAGTTTAGGAACATTTGAGTGGTAACTAGTGTTTATTTTTCTGGATGTGATTCTGTGTGTATATATATTATAAATTGATTGCGTGGCATCAAGTCAATGTGAACTCAGCAATACATAGATAAACTTTCTAAAAGATCCAGGACTTAAACTGCAAGGTGTGTAAGAGTAAATTTTTACCTTTTCTTTTTCCCTGCACAGTCTGGGAGAGTGGTAGAATAAGATTATAGGCACATCCTTGATACTAATGTTGCTGTTTTTTCTGAGATCTTTATTTGATTCCTTTGATTATACTAAGTTTCTTAGGTGGGACCAACTGACCAGTCTATGTAGTGCATATCATATACTTTTCCTTTAATACAATAATAAGCATTCACTACTTGTTAGATCTGAAGAAGATTGGAATATAATGCATGCATAATTTAAAATTATCCATGTATTTGCTTGCCTAAGCAAAATATATAACATAAGGAAATTCCAGAGTGTATTACTCACAGATGTCTGCCAAAAAGGCTATGACTGCCAGGTTTTTCCCCCCAGTGTGATATATAATCTATGTATAATGTATAAGTGATAACAAAGCAATCAGACCATATTTATAAAATCCCAATGACACATAATTTAGCAGAATCTGTGGATTATAATTAATTGTCTCTCTTTGTTCCAAGTTCTAAATCTTAGTAAATGATTCACTGCATGTCATTACAGCTTAATATTTGCATGAAATCACAGTTTAGTTGGCATAATTTAATGGCAATTAAAAACCTATTTAATCGTCATGCAAATTGGCATGAGGGCCCTTGAGTATGAATGGTGTCTATTTCTTAAGAATCTGCACACTGTCATTTCTGTTCTTTTAAACACTCCTACCACAATTGATAACAATTTTCCTGTTCACAGCAGTACAAATGGACAATAAATTATATTTTTGTTATAAACAAAGTCTAAAATCCTCTGTACATTGATTAACTATGAAAATCATTAGCAAATTGTATTTTTTTTAAAAAATTACTTGGGCATAATTTGATGTTTAAATGTTATTTATACAGAAATAACAAAGATTGTGGTGGCATCATAGTGATTAACAAATTTATTATGGGTTACATTTCCATGGATTACAATTTATTTCATCTATTCAATTTATTATATCCTGAATTACAAATAAAGATCCATATGACTTAGTGGCAGAAGAGTTAAAGAAATGAAATACAGAAAATATTGGCAGCACAACCAAATTATTATTAGTGGACATATAGAATTTTATGGCCAGTTGGTATTGCCAGTAAGATTTTTTTTAAAAAAAATATAAACACTTCAAAATAGTGAGAGTATCTCTCCAGAAGCTGAACTCCATTAGGTTTTGAATACTTCTTATCATAAATGTCACATTTATCTATTTATTATTGTAGTACAAAACAAAGAGGATTCAAGATGGTTTGAAGCATTTTAATACTTTAATTCAATGATTTTTTAGAATAGATGAGAAATCCACTGATATTTTTATGTTAATAATTTGATTTTGGTTCTCTTAAATAGGTGCAAGAATACAAAATACATATGCATGCTGAAACCCATATTTTTCAGTTTGATCTTTTGTTACAGTTCACAAATATAAAATAATCATAGCAAAATGCCCTTTATCTATGGGGGAAATATTCATGAACAATAAAATAAATTCATATTTACTTTTTCTGTATTTTTAAAAAAACTTTAAGTTCTCTACGTATACAATACAGCCAAGGCTTTTCTCTGCTTGCATATTGGTTAGTCATTAGCCAAATTATGAGTGGCAACTGTACAGTATTTACAAAAGGCTTCAAAACTATCAATCATGTTGTCAAATCTCAGAACAGTCAATCCATATTTTATATCTGCTTCATCAGTTGCTAGATTCTGCAAGCCATATCTTGAATGTGTTCTGAATTTGGATACTACTTTTAATCTGATTTTATTCCAAGTTTTACATGTTTGTGTTTGCTTAGTTAAATTCTGATGTCCAATTACTATAGAATATTTTACAAATATCATTGTAGGAGCAAAAATGAATGTTTTTCCTTTATCAATGATATTTGTGAAGAAATTTAAAGAAGAGTTCTTCACAGCTTTTGTCTCATTTATTTTGATATATCTTCATATATATTTGCCCTACACAATTTGTTTTTGTAAATCAAGGATGGAAGGTATGTTCTGTGTGAATGTACATTGTAATATAAGACATTGCTACTTTTAAGCACTGATTATTTTGTTTTTCCTTTTGTAGGACCACCTTCTGCTCCAAGGAATGTCATCTTTAATATAAATGAAACAGCCCTTATGTTGGAATGGACTCCACCAAGTGACACAGGAGGGAGAAAAGACCTTACCTATAGTGTTATTTGTAAAAAATGTGGATCTGATACCAGCCGGTGTGAGATATGTGGAGGAGGAATCCGATTTGTTCCAAGACATAGTGGGCTTATCAATTCTTCAGTGACTGTGCTTGATTTTGTGTCCCATGCGAACTACACTTTTGAAATAGAAGCCATGAATGGTGTCTCTGAATTAAGCTTTTCACCAAAGCAGTTCACAGCCATCACAATTACCACAGACCAAAATGGTGAGTTTCTTCTTATACGTGTGTCAGTTAGACCTTATACAATACAATATGATTAATAATATTTTGTGAATTATCATTAATAAATATAAAAAAAGTATGTTTGTGCTTTTTCAAATTATTTATACTTCCATAGTCATGTTTTGGTTGCAGGATAAATAATAAGACTTCAGAAACAGTTTGTCAGAACAAGCCTAACTTACTTTTATTCAAGGGATGTTGATTGATGTGGTTTATTTTTCCTTGGACAAGTCTATTTTTAACATTTTATCATGTGAAAAAACCAGGAAATTTTGCTAGTCTATTTACTATCTTAGTACTACTTTGTGACTTTAATTTAGGAGTTAACTATCAATCTATGAGATAAAGAAACTCTTGCTTATATGTGCAAAACTACATTTCAATTATTTAACAAATTAATGCATGCTTCATTAATCTAATTTCACAAAAATTACCTTGGTAGCTGGTTTGTTAAGTCTAGATGTAACATTCTTTTAAGCAGACAACATGTATATTCACAAGGTTGTATTAATTAAACTTGTATTAATAAACCTTGTAATTAATGAATTTTGTGGGCATTTTGAAAACACTGTCAAATATGAATTGAGAGATACTTCTCAGTTGATCAAACAATCTTCTACATGTGTATGAAAATACAAAATATTCCATTGTTTATCTGTTTGAGCAACAAGGTTATTCATAAGATTTAAAAAAAACTCAAGTAGGCAGCTGTGATATGATTGGAGCCCTGCTTTTTTAATAAATCTGTATACATATGATGTATATAAAAAGATAGCAGGGCTTTTCTCATGTAATTATGGTTGCAATATTGACTTATTTTTTCCTCTCTTTTTTGTACACCTGTTTTGGACAATAACATGTGTCACTAATATTGCTACATGTACATGGGAGAGGTCTCTAGTTTTAAGAAGAACAATGACATTTCTCTAATCTGTATTTTTATTAATTTTAATATTTTTACTGTGGGTTTTATCATTCATGAATTATGTTCAGTTTTATACAGCTCTATTTTTTAAGTGAAGCCCTTCGTTTTATTATTAATGGCTTGAGTTGCCTTCCTTGGGCAGTGGTAGAATATAAATCAGTTAGACAAAGGAATAATCTGAAGATCCACACATTGTTAAACAATGGCTGTTATTAACAATGCATGTTAAGCAATGCATGAAACTGAATTGAAATATAGAAGTAAGCCGCTTTAATTCTCTTATTTACTTTAATGCATTTATATCCATTATAAAATATGTTTATATTCAAAATATGTTTTTCTAGGGTATAATATATTTTTCATTAGAATAACTGCAGATGATTAGCATTATTAGAAATAAATGATATAAACAAATAAAATAGTAAAGTATATAATTATTCAGTTAGCACTAAGAACTGACAAGTCCTTTTTTTCTGTTGTTGTGAATGTGTTGTCCAATGATAAGTATAGGAAAATATTGTCATTGAATTATATACAAAGTAGAAATAACCAGTTTAATTCAAACATTTTCTGTAATGATGTGCAGTAATTGACAGTAAGAGAAGCAATTCTATAAAATGCAAGATCATAAATGATGGTGCTGTGTCCAATTATTATTGAGCAACTAAAGAAATACTTAAAATATTAAATTCCTAGATACTTTTTTCTGCTTGCACAAAATACTATCAAACTAAAGGTTAGGGTTAGTTATATGGTGTTTTTTTATGTAAGTTTTACAGTTGAGATATTGAGCTGTCAACATCTGTGATATAAAAATATCAGTGACTTTACATACATCCAGTGTGTTAGCTGAAAGAAACAACAAAATTGACAAAGAGAAAATAACCAAATCAAGCTCCTAAACAGTTTGAAAGGGAGGCAAAGAATTGGAAGATGGGGCTGAATTGGAGATATAATGAATCTCAAGGATTCCATAAGCCTTGAAAGCAGCCTCCTGTAATGTTAAGCTTTTCAACTATTTTAGCTAAATTCTTGAAGTCTTTGACTGTTGGTTGTATGAAGGCTGATGAAGAACTCTTTTATATGAATAATAAGCCTATTTACTCAGATCTTAAATAATCATTAGTATCAAAGAAATGCTTATAATCTTATTCTTGGACTCCAATCCAGACTCTTCCAGACCACGCAGGGAAAGAAAAGGGTAAAAAAATTGCTCTTCCACACATTGCAGCTTAAGTCCTGGATCAAAGCTTCTAGATAAAGAGATCAGTAGCCTCCTGCTGTGGTGAAGGTAAAATAGAACAGCTTCGAGATAGAAAGATTTATAGAATCATTTATCTTCTTTTCCTAATATTCCTAACTGACCCTTAACTTTTCACTATATATCTCCACATAACGAATGCTGAAATAATAGAATGCTGTTTCAAACGTAATTAATATAAAGTTTGAATTGTTTTAGTAATCCTAGAGCCACTATTCTAGTTCTTGAAATATTCCAAGGCCTTTTATCAACTGAGTTTTAATTTACTTCACAGCTGATTCTCTACCTATTTCCAGATATCTTGGGGCAATGCCTACTGCATTGTCATTGTTAAAACCATGTTAATGAAGAGCTAGCACTTATGGACTGTTGCATTTTGTGCATTTTTATGAACAACCAGAAACAGACATTCATTAAAAATGGATATTTATATACTCTTTTAAATCTTTTATGTGGGGTTACCATTTTAAGTGTCACTGCATCCTTTCCTATAAAACTTTCTGAATATGGTCAAGAAAACTGGTTCATTCTATAATTGATTATCCTCTTCTATGAAACTTTTTTCAGTATAATCACTGTAATGTAATAATTATTGTACAGCTGCAGGTAATGTACATACTTCAGTTTTATTGTCAACCTATCATAGATTAATAAAGTAGATAATTTTTTTAAATAAAATAAAGTACCCATGTTGATAATAGCAATATCAATAGCACTTAAACTTATATATCATCTCCTACTGCTTTTCAGCAGAAGTCCCCAACCAGTAGCAGGGAGGGATAGGATGTGTTCCACGCTCAATCTAATCCTGCGCCTGCGCAAATGAACCTTTGTAGGTTCACCCACTATTTGCACAGCCTGGTTCTCAACTGACCACGGCTCGGTAGCAGGCCTGGAAGTTGGGAACCTCTGATTTATAGCACTTTCTAAGATGTTTACACAGTCAGCATATTGCTTCCAACAATCTGGGTTCTTGTTTTACTGACCTCATAAGGCTAAATGAATGGAAGGCTGAATCAACCTTGAGCCAGGCAGGATCAAACTTCTGGCCGTGAGCAAAGTCAGCCTGAAATACTGCATTCTAATCACTGCACCACCACGGCTCTAATAAACCAACATGACTGTATAAAAGAGCTGACAATCGTAAAAGAAGCATAATTTTTATTTTCTGATATATTTACAAACATGTCTTTAATACCATGTATGAGTCTGTACACTTATCCAAATGACTCATCCAAAAGTCTCAAGCATTTGAAATCTTTCTGTTTCTGCCACAGCAAAAAAACAAAAACAAAACAAAACACAAGGACAAGATTTCAAATATATGTACAAGCATTACAAACATCTAAGTTAGGATCTGTATGTTTACTAACCATTGTTCCTCTTCCTGACCTAAGAACAATTTCTATTACATATTTTTCTATTCTTTCCTTCCATTGAAAGCTATAACTTTTAAAACAAATTGTGTTCACTATCTAATATTTTAAAATAATCAGTTCCTACTTGTAAAGTTTTCTGTTGTATGCTGTAGATTCTTCATATCACGTACAAGTTGATGCAAACCAATTGTTTTTCTTATTTCATTATCTATTGTTGCTCTGTGGTATAACTTGTTCTATGGTTTAGAGTCTTTTTTATAATTGCATTTAGCTGTGCTTCTCCCTTTTGTTTTATGTAATACCTTTCTAAAGTTCCTTCACCTGAATTGATTCCAGAGCAGTTGCATTATGTCACAAAACCTATTGCAAGGAAAAACAATATAATTATTTTAATAATGCCATACCAAAATAAAAATCTGAATAGCACTATTTTTAAATCACGACAACATATTCACGCTATGAACATGTAGCCATAGATGCCATTAGCATCTTCTCTGAGCAAACACTAATATAATGTTTTTTTAAGGACAAAGCAAGAGAAAATTGTAGTTAAGACCCAAGGAAACATGAGCTGTTGTGCAGGAATGGTAAACGTATTTTTATTTAAATTGGGTTAACTCTGGAAAAATAGCACAGAACAGAATCATGAAAATTTGACTCCTCTGATTCCCACTGAAAGAAACCAATAGAAGTGAAGTTATTTTTTGAGTAGTAATACATTAGAAAATAGTGGTAGAGTTAATAGTGGATTCAGCTTTAGGATTGTAAATGATCTATTATCATTAAATGTCAGCAAAAAAAACTTACATTAATTAAGTGTTCATTGTATGATTGGTTATAAATACAAATAATTTGATGGAAATGGATCCTAGTTTTTGTTTTGTTTTCTTCTTTTAAGGATAGTATTAAGCAATGTATTTTATCCTGTGTGAGATAAGAGGTAATCCTACTAAGAAAGAAAGGAAGGAAGGAAGGAAGGAAGGAAAGAAGGAAGGAAGGAAGGAAGGAAGGAAGGAAGGAAGGAAGGAAGGAAGGGAGGGGATTAAAAAAAACATTCTCTTCAAACCAATTTAATAAAAGGATATTTGGGATCAAAATATAGTATATATTCTGCCTTCTTCTTTTCCAGTTCAAACTAAAATTATGATTGGTATAATCATAGTTGACAGTGCAAATAGCATGTATACATTAACAATTACGAACCAAGAATCATAATATACAAAGGTGCTTGAAGATACAGTTTGTTAACATTAAACATGTGCTATCTAGAGTGAGGCACATGATTTATACAAGCAATTATTTATCCAAGATTTGTCTTTCATTGCAGTTACCAAATTATGGGATTATTAAACTATTCAGAAATCTGAAATGTGGTTCCAAGCAAAAGTGGAGCTAATAGAGCCAATTTTCTAATCTG